CCCACCCCCCGCTGTCCCCGGCACTGAGCTGTAGTGCACATTCCCCATTCCCTGCACCCAGCCGTGGTGCAAATCCGTCCCCCATCCCCTGCACTGAGCCCTGGGGTGCGTCCCCGTCCCCTGCACGGAGCACGACCTGACTCCCTCTTGCCAAACCACGTCGCACCTCCCGCTTTGCTTGCACCGAGCGCCACTCACCCCATCGCCCGCCCCACTGCCCCGGCACAGCGCCTTTCACATCACCTCCCCGTGCCAAGCCGTGCCCCGTATCACCCCTCCCTCACAGTTTCACCTTTTCCTCCTTGTTTTTGGCCCTGGGAAAGCTGCCGAGTGCTGCCCGGGCTGGGCCCAAGCCCCCTCCCTCCCTTGGCTGTGCTTCTCACCCCTTGGTGGGAGATGGGGCAAGAGTGGGGGTGAGTGACCACTGCCCCCCCGTCCCCTGCAGAGCCCGGGTGAGCGGAGGTCAGGTGGGAGCTGAGGAGGAGTAGTGGGACCCAGGTATTTCAGCCCTACCAAGTTTTTAAGAGTAGATTTTTTCTGTGAGCAAGAGTGTGGCTTTTTTTTTTTTTTTGTAATTTATGTAAATAAAGTGGGTTTGTTTTTTTTTTTTAAAAAAAACAACACTGGATTCTTCCACAGCTCATGTCTGGCCAGGCTCGAGTGAAGAGGGCAGACCCTCGCAGAGGGCAGAGCCACAGCACAGTATAGGAGCCAGCAAGGTCGGGGGACCACGAGACACCCCTCCCCTGCTCACGTCCTGCTGCCCACAGGAGGGTGCTTGCACAAAGCACACAGGGCAAAGTAGCAGGGGTTTAAGGAGCTGGCTCTGGGGCCAAGGGTCTAGGAGCTGTCAGGGGCTTCAGAGCTGGGGGCTGCGGCCCTCCGCTTCAGCGGGATGATGCAGATGCTGTTTTTGGCTTCTTTGACTCTCCACCATCGTCCAAGCCTGTAGATGAGAGAGACTGAGGGCATCCTCTGCCGAGCCCCAGCAGAGGGGGGGG